TTACTATTATTATAATATTGGTTTTTGTTGTCCTGGTCTACTTTAAATATTTTTACACACACATATAAATATATAGTAAATATAAATTCATACATAGATAAATTCATAGTAAATGTAAAGCACTGTTTTGCAGTCCTGCATTCTCTGTATACAGAGCTGTGGTCAAGAACAGCATCCTGGAGGGAGCACAGTGGGGAGAGCTCAGATGGGGCCCAGGGCCAGGTAAGGCTAAAAGAGATGTGAAGGCAAAACACAGACGAATCTTTATGTATCCTACATAAGGTCACACCCATTTCATTTCCAGAAATATCTCCACTGTGACTGATTCTTAGTTAAAAATATCACAGAGATACTGACTCAGCATATAACAGGAGACAAACTGGACAAAGTGAACAAACCACGCTTGGGTCACGTCAGTATGACACTGTGATATTCCCAGTCAGGGTGGGCTATATACGTTATAAATGACTCGGAGGAAAAAGCACATAATAAAGTCTACAACCGACCTTTTAGGTGATTACTCTAAGCAGACCCTTTGGTTTAATTCGGAGTCCCTTTTGCCAATTCCTTTAAGCGTGACCACTAAATACTGAAGATGCATTAGATGTGGTGTTTAGATCCAGTTAAGTATTTAGAAACTGGCACCAATGGGGTCAGAACCAGCGGCTCTGGGAGGACCCTGGCATACATGAGGATGCTCTGTGACCAGCCTCAGCGGGTGAACTCATGGGACAAGGGCTTGGCCATTATGCTGCACAGCTGGCTCAGCAGAGCAGCCTGGACACCCCTCCCTGCCCCACATCTCTGCTGCATGAAAATGACTGTGGGCAGATGCAGGGCAGCTCCACCTTGCTGGTCCCAATCACACACTTAAAAGTGGCCCAGGGGAAGATAGGACCGGGTGGTTACTTTGTAAAGCCTGTGGAGTAAATGGGTCCTCAGAGACTGACAACGCATGAAGGAAAGTTCTCCCTTCTCCCAGGCATCCTTCCTTTCATGCCTCCTTTCCCAGCCCCATACCCCAGAAAGAGGCCACGTTACCAGGAATTTGGTGCTACTTTCTGTTAGGCAGGACGAGGTGAGAGGGAAGGAAAAGGGCTCTGAAGTACTATGGAATTTTACCTGCCCTTTTCTTGGCCATGGAGCCAAATGGCAGCCATTTAAAAAGGTGGACTTTAGAGTCCTTGTTTATACTTTAAAAGACTTTGGCTGGACCAGGTGATTCCACTTTTACAATGTGGGTCCCATGAACACAGAACAATGAAATCTTTCATAAATGTAACATTGCTTTTAAGAATCGAGAGTAACTGGCTTGGAAAAGGCAGACACATGCATCTTCTTATCTCTGGTCTCCCCGCTCCCAACCAAGATCTTTGGAGAGCCAAGTTAATGTAACTAACATGAAGGTTTTTAAAGAGATTTTGAGGGGAAGTGGGGAAAATAGGAGGAAACTTCAGATTCAGGTGACATTTATTTGGTTCAAAAAGGTGCATCTACCAGTTTCTTGAATTTACTGTGGTGATGACCAGAGACTCAGAGCAGAAGCCAGACCCCACGGATGAAAGAAGCCCAGGAGAGGCAGATGGAAAGTCATTTTCAGACATGATGAAAATACCCCAGTAGGGCACGGAGTATAAGGAAGAACCAGTTACCACCTTATGCTGTGAACACATAGCACTTCTTAGAAGGAACTTGTGTAGCCTATTTATCCATGTCCATAGACTTGGGGACTCAGACTCATGTGCCTGTGTGGTTGCATCGAGTTTGCTTTGGCAAACAAATTGGAGAAAGTCTTGATCATTTTTGCAACACGGTGGTTGACCCAAACAACTTAGGTAAAAAAACGCCATGTGGAGAGGCTGGACCCTGCCACTACGACTCTCCTCCGAGCCTCCAGGGCACCCTCTGTGTTCACCCACCCCTACTGCTTGACATACACCATTGCAATGACCTATTTGCCTGTCTCCCCAACATCCTTGAAGCAAGGGACTGTGTCCTGTTCATCAGTGTAACCCCTGTGCCTGGCACAGAGATGACCAATCATGTTTATGAAGTGAATGAATGAATGAATGAAGAACAAAGTGCTTCCTCTCTAGAGTAATTAATTCTCCCTTGCCTAGACTAAGCCCACTTCTTTAAATGTAAGGAAATTAGTGGTTACATTACAGAGCACACAGAAATAAATGATTATCTCATTTAATAATGAACTGTTACCAATAATAAAATTTGTCTGCCTGTTGTTCCTTAGTTACTGCTCTGTCAAGTAGCCCAATTTGTTGTTAACTGACTACATTAAAGATCTAATTTAATTAAATCTTGAACAAGGCTCAGAAGACCTACAGAGAGCACTTTGTTTAATTACAGGCAGGGGGCAAGCACCAATCCTATTGATCTGGTCAGTTAAAATTCTATACAATGAAAATGAACAGAGAAAAAAAAGTGGCCCCAATTGCTTTTCAGGCAATTTTGGCGAACTGTGGATTCAGAGCTGCTCTAATGTCAGCAAAGGCACACCAGCCATGCATCATGGGGATGAAAATGAAATTGTACCTGTCGCTCTGCAGAGCTACACAATGTGAAAAGCAGAGACAACGCCAATCACAAAAAGCAAATCCCTCTGTGGGGAAATGAAATATACTGGGTGGGTGGAAATCTTCCAGCATTCAAAGTCTAGTGCACTAGTGTCTATGATATCTAGTAAATGCTTTGAGATCCACAATTATCTTGAAATGAAAAGAAATATAACCAATTTGTGGGTATGTATACAGATTCCTGAGGACATTTCCAGTTGAGGAAGAGATACAAGTTCCTCAACATTTTATTACTTGGAGGTAATTAAAATAAAAATTATATAAATTCATATAAAACCAAATTCACATAAAACCATATTAACAACACAAAAAGGTAATAAATGTGATCAGAAGAAGAGTTTTGATTAAAATGTGTGTGTGTATGTATAACTATTCAATGTCCATGTCAGAGTTCTTCAAACATCTATGGATTCTTAAGAAAAAAATGATGGTATGGTGCTAAACTTTCCACACCACTCAATAAGTAACTTTGGATTCTAACCCAAACACCTCTTACTAATGTTTTAAGCATTTACTATGTGCCAGGCATTGCCTAACTACTTGATGAGCATTACCTTATTTTCCTGCACTGGATACTATTATCACCCCCACTTCATGGCAAAGTAAACTGAGGCAGAGAGAGGTTAGGTAACATGTCAAAGCCTCGCTGTGACTTGGCAGGTAACACTATGAGCTCAGGCAGCCTGATGAAATTTACTTACCAGAGCCCTGGTATGTAGCATAGAACTGCCACACTATGCAGTTAATACTGTCCTCCAGAGTTGGAGGAATCAATTAAAGAAGGAGGGCAGGTGGTTGGCTTTTTATTTTTTGCTAGTCACAATCAAGGGCTGTCTTGTGCTTTAGTAACTCAAGTTAGAAGAGGAAATTTATACTAAACCACAGTATGTAATTATACTTAAGACCAACATTTCCTTTGCAAAACATGCGCTATCAGGATGCACACGCTAAGAGCAAGCACATACCTAATTAGGGCATTAGTCATAACAATCAGGGAGTGTAACCTAGAAAATTATAGGTGGTGCAGGCCTTAATGCTAAGTAAATTTCATCAGGTTGCCCAGATAAAGCCTTTGCTGACTAGGATAATTTACACCTGTTGATGCAAGGATGGAGAATGGTATCCGATATGGCTGGGGACTGATAACATGCTTATGGGAGTTAAGACAAGATGATATTCAGATAAGAGAGGTAGTAGTGCTGGTCTTTTAATTATGACATTAGCCACAAGTGAGGAAGAGAGTTGACAACGTTCAAAAACAGTAATTTCTTTCATATTCATACATAATTCTTAGTTAAGAATACTTGAATGTGGATTAAAAACTGAATGATTTATACATGCTGACCTTATTGGGACAGTTACTTACAAGGTATTCTTTACAGGTAATGGAGGAAGAGCAATGATGGATGATGAGATCTACGAGATGTATTTTTTCCCCTCTAATCCAATTTAGTGTGTAAAATTACCCGAGTACCACTAGAAAGCAAGCTTCTAATATTGCCAAGATTGAGAAAGAAAGCAAAGGAGGTCTAGTGATTCGAAGTGGAGTTCAGAGAGAACTGTTTTTGTTGAAGAATCCATTGCTTCACCCCCAGTCCAATCGCAGATCAAATTCACAGCCAAACAATGAAGTACTTGTGGGTTCCTGGTGAAAAACTTTATCTTTGGAAAACTGAGTGCTTTAACATTTCTACCAAACATTTCTATCCTGAAACACCAGCTCCTTCAGTAATGGACATACAAGTATGTCTTAAACAAAATGGCTCTCACACTAGTTTAGGCCCTGGGGTGAATACCAGGAATCACACACACACAGACTCACGCACACACGTGTACACATACAGACACACAAACATGCATGATTACAGCCACGCATATACATATGCACACACACTGACATATGAGGGGTCTTTAAAAAGTCCTCTCATATTATCTTTTAATTCCATTTTTCCACAAACTTTTTGAAGTACACGTATGATTTACTTTAATAAGTCTTCACTAGAAGAGATGACATTTCACATTAGATTCTGTATAGAAAAGTGACGACTGATACTATAAAGTTAAAAACATTTACAGAAAAAATGATTATTAGTTTATCTTAAAGAACATTTTAATTGAGCTTGGGGAAGAGGTGCATGCCCTGGAGAGTAATTTGAGGATCACTCTGCCCAGATATAATTTTACCATTCACTTAGATTTGAGATTCCGGAGAAAAATGTTTTTTATAAATCTTACCTCCACACCTCAGAACTTTCAAGATACTTTCCCTTCAAGAACGACGTCGGGAAAGTGACTGGCAAGACTCTAAAGAGCACGAAATTCTTGGGGCTGCACTTGACACCACGTGCCAGCTTCTCTGAGTCCCCACCCTCCCGGGAACGGCTCGGCCGCCCTACATGGCAAGCTCACCCTCCTCCGGAGCCGGTCCCGCTCCTCACGGACGGCGTTCATGGTGGCCTTGGTCCGGTTCAGCTCCTCCTCTTTGCTGCACAGCATGGCAGTCAGGCTCTCGTTCTCTTCCCTCAGCCCAGCCAGCTCCTTCTCCCATCGAGACCGCTCTTCAGCCAGGTTGGGGTATAGGTCCCGGCCAAGCACCCCCTCGATCTCCTCGACTGTCTGCAAAACAGAGCCATAAAGAAAAGCCAAGTAAACTACCTTGGGGAAAGGTGATGGAAAGAAAACAGGCTGGACAGGCGCAGGTGCACACAGAGGAGAGGGTTCTAGAGCCACCTCACTGCAAACAGCAATCATGACTAGCGAAACGCCCAACATCACCCTCTCCCCAATTTCAGATTGGGGAGACTCTGTCAGTTGCCTGGCTTACAGTATGTTACCCAGTGGTCTCCAGAGCAAGAAAAACTCAGGCCCTTCGTGGTGTTTGAGTCTATCTGTGGTGTTAACTGCCATGTCCACACAAATGTTTATGTTCTTCACTCGAGTTCCAGACTGGGTGAATACACAAAACCAGGCAGCAGGCCAGTTAGCGATCCTGATAATGCAATGACAAACCTGAGGTTGCAAACTGCAAACAAAACCTAACTCGAAGTTTCCTAAATTATAGGCCTCCCACGTGCCAACTCAGCAATAAGATAGGTGACATCACCATTTCCAGCTTTTAGTGTCACATCAGAACTTAGAAGGTGTGAATGAGGTTCAGTCCCAAGATGTGAAGGACAAAAATAGACCTGAGTGACACAGAAAAAAGGAAGTTCATTGTGGTGGTTTCTAAGACAACAGGGATTTAATTAATTAATAAGACTGCTATGAGCTAAAGTGAAAAGAATCTTAATAGTACTTAGAGAGTTTGAAAAATTCATTTGAAACAGCATTAATGCATAAAATTTTTTAAAAAAGGAAAAACTCATTCTGCTTGCTCTCAGAAACTGTTCATTCACATTTACTGTCGTTTGGAAAAGGAAGCATAAGCTGATATTGAAACAGGAGGGAGAATTGCCATGCAGGGACAGAAAGCAGTGAAGAAATGTGACGAGAAACAGGAGTTTGTCACCCTCAGATGTTCACATTGGTTCTCAAATCCTCTGCCACTCTCCCCATGTTGTGCTTTGCCCCTTGCTGGCTGGCAGAAGTCCTTGGTCGCCTCCTTCCCTCTCAATGCTAGGCTAGTACCCAAGTTGGCATTACGATCAACTATAGGGCCTGGGAGATTCCAGAGAAAGAAACACCAACAACTGCTTCTCCCCATCCCACACCACATCGACTATATGTTTGCAGCAAATGGGAAGAATAAAGATGGAAAACCAGCTGTGTTATAAACACGTATCATGGTTTACCCTGAGACAATTTACCACAGTTCTTTTGTGAAATTCAGGATTCCTACTGATAGAAACTTGGGTGTAGATTTTCCCTTCTCATAGACTTCTCCCAGATTTCTGAGTTCGAATTGCTGTGCCTAGGTCACTACTACCTTTGCTGTGGTGAAGTAATACACAGATACCAGAGACCCATTATCAATAGGACCTGACTGTCCCATTGTGCATGCAGATGCAGCACATTCCTCTCACCTGGTCCCCCTTAAGCAGTAAGATGAAAGTATGTAAGAGGCTTGGCTGAAACCCAGCTCCAGTGTGCTGGGGACAGAGGACTCACCCGGATCCTGAACCTTACCCCTGGTTAGCTCCATGAATTGATAACTCCTGAAACAATCCTCTAGAGGTCTTATAGCTTTAACAGAACTTCCAAGTTGAACTTACAATTTAAGAGTGCTATACGATGAACCACACTAAAATGATGTGGTTCAAAACTAGTAGTCCAATAGTTTCCAAGTAAATTGTCCTTTTTGCTGCAAAGCCAGTGATTCTAACCGTTGACACAATGATTTTTTTTCTATAATTCACCCCAACAAAAATTTATAGGGCTCCTGCTTATACCTGGTGGTCCAATCTACAGTATGGCTTTCATAGAAGCATTCATCCCTCAAGAGAGGGATCTGATCATTTCCCTCATATAATCTAAAGGAGCCAGCTGGAGGGGGAGGGGTACCTTAATAGCCAAGTCGCAGTGCTCGCTGGCGGTGGTGAGCTGCTCGATGTGCCTGTCCACCTCGGCCACGGAGAGGCTACAGCTGCTCTTCTTCCTGCCGCAGACGACATTCTCCAGCCCCGTGAGCACCCTCTGCAGTTCTGAGTTCAGGTCACTGCAGTTATCTGTGAGCGAATGAGGAGAAGGTGTGTTAAGCAGACAGGTGGGCAATGAATGCTCTCAGTTTTGCTTGCCATGGGGGTCCCACTCAGGCAAAACGGAACAGCAATGGAGCTTGGCATTTCAAAATTCAACATCATCCAGCCTAATCTCACAGGCACTGCCTCTGACGCCTGGAGCCAACGTAAGCTCTTTATTAAGGAGTTGCAGACCTCGGTCATTTTCTAGACAGCTGAGCCATCCTGAATTCCCTTGTTTTTTACTCAGAAGCAGCCACATCTTGAGCTTTGTTAGTAAGAATGAAGAAGTGCCCCAGAAGGGACTGTTGGCACCTTGGAAGCCTTCTGATCAACCTTTCTGCTCCGCCATCAGACAAGCACTAACTCCAAAAGAGTTTCAGCTAAGAAGATCCCATAACTTTACTAAACAAACATAACAAAAAGCCTCAGGATGACCAGAGACACTAGGCATTTTAAAAAATAGAAACTGTGTAAGATACACAGTCCTTGCCCTCAATGAGCTTAAAATTAGGACTTTTTTCCAATATAACCATTCAATATGCTCCACCCTTGCAATTTAACCCATGTTCTTCCATCAGGGGAAAACAAAAACTGCTCTAACAAATTCCATATTGTTCTCCATGTAACTGTCTTTATCCAGTTCTAATAATTTGATTTTGACTTAAATCTGGGTTACTTTTAACTGCTGGACATCAGGGAAAGAAAATTAATTATAAGTTAATTATAATCATAAAGTCAGCTATATATATACCTTTGAAGATAACTTTGTTGGAAAAAAATCCCCTTAAAGCCTGAGGCATGGAGAAGGGGTCCAAACCTCCCTCCCGCAACCAGGCACACCTCACCAGTGCCTCAGGTCCTGCTCAGGCACTGGTACCACCTCCCACAACCAGGTACCCCACGCCAGCACCTCAGGGCCCACCCGGGGTATGGAGCTGGGGACTGGACCCCCCTCGCAACCAGGCACACCATGCCAGCACCTCGGGGCCCATGCTGGGACCTGGGGTATGGAGAAGGGGACCGGATCCCCCTCCCACAACCAGGCACACCATGCCAGCACTTTGGGGCCTGCCCTAGGACCCGGGGTATTGTACCCTCCTACCACTAGGCACACCACACCAGTGCCTTGGGGCCTGCTGTGGACCAGAGGCATGGAGAAGGGGACTGAAACCCCCTCCCACGATCAGGCACACTGCAGCAGTGCCTCGGGCTGTGCCTAGGGACCCAGGGTAAGGAGTTGGGGACTGGACCCCCCTCCCACAACCAGGCACACCATGCCAGCACCTTGGGACCCACTTAGGGACCTGGGGCATGGAACCGGGGATTGGACAATCTCCACAACCAGGCCACTGCCAGCACCATGGAGCAGGCCAAAAACGTCTCCTCCATGTGGGGGACCCAACACAGCTACCACAATAACCATGGCTGCCATGAAGGTGGCTAGGTGCCACAACCACCACGCAGATGGTCCAGCAGCCACTGGAGTGAGTTGACACAAGGAGAGTCACCAGCAGAGATAAAAAAAGGAGGACGACGTCTGTCTTCACAGAGCCCATTTCATAGTGACGGAAGAGACATCTGCTCTATGATTGTATTGAGGAACCTGATCATGCCTCTCAGCATTGGACAGATCATTTGGGCAGCATATCAACAGAGTGACCATTATTCTTTCAGAAGGAGAGAAGAAATCTAGGGTAATTAGAGGGGGGAGGGGGAGACGAAGGGAGATGGGTTGGGATTGGACAAGGAGCATAAAGAATAATTACAATTTGTAACAATATAGATGCTAGTAATATTGATTTGATCAACATATCTCAATGTTGAACCCCCAAAATATGTATAATCAATTTTGATTCAATAAAAACTTTTTAAAAAAAGTAAAAATTGGAAGAATGAAGAAAAAAAATCCCCTTAAAGTCAAGTATAAATTTCTTTTTCTTTTTCTTTTGTACTTAGTCCATAAGGGGATCTGAACTTATGACCTTCACGTTGTAAAGCTGTGCTCTAACCAACTGAGCTAACCAGCCAGCCCCAATACAAGCTTCTTAACTTGCTGTTTTGGATTGTGTACACCACCATGCCATTCAATTAATACAGCAAGACAGATGCTGACCATAAGCAATCTCTCAAAGTACGTCTTTCCCCTACATCCAACCTTATTCCTGCATAAAAGCTGCTCCATGTCTTCAGCCTTCTTCTCTCCTCCTCCCTTCTCATCACTGGTTCCATGCATGAAAATGGCCAACTGAGTCTGGTGCTTTCCTTTAGAAGACTTCAAGAAAACTCTTAGCACCATAGAAACAGTATTTCTCAGCATATTTTAGTCAACCTCATTGAACTGCCACTATCTGTAAGTTTCCTAAATCTAGAGAGAACAGTCTGAGGCTTTTACTCCAACCGGTGCACACAATTATTCCACCTCTCTTTTTTTTTTTGTCTTTTTTCGTGTCCAGCAACAGATCGCAACCCTCAGTGTCACGCCCGTACTGGACCGGGCCCGGCAACGGGATCGCAACCCTCGGCACTGCTCCCGCACCTCACTCAGCCAGTGAGCGGGAACCGGTCTGTATGTGGGATCCGAACCCTCGGCGGGAGCGCCGCCGCGCTCCCAAGCGGCGCACTGTAGCAGTGTGCCACCGGGCCGGCCCTCCACCTACTTCTCAAACCCGTTCCTCCTTGATCTATCCCATCTCAGTGAACGGCACCACTATACACACAGTCATTGAGGTCAACACTGAAGCAACCTTGATTTCCTTTTGCCTCATGTTCTAAATCCAGTCCATCTTGGGACCAAAACTTATTCCAAAACTGACTTCTTTCCATCTCCACCAACCACCCTGGTCCAAGCCACCATAATTTCTCAACTGCACCACTGCAACAACCTCATACCTTCTCTCCCCACATGGTAGCCAAAGTGAGCCTCGTAAAGATGTGAATCAGATCATGTCACTTTCCCAGCCCAAACTGTCTAGTGGCCTCCCACCAACATTCAGCTAAAGTTGAACCAAACTTCTCACCAGAGTCTGTAAAACTTTGCATCATCAAGACTGATGTTCTCAATCCAGGTTGCAACATGGAATAAATCCCCTGGGAATTTATAAAATACCAACGTCCAGGCTCCACCCCAGACCAATTAAATCATAATCTCTGGGGGTGGGGCCTGGACACTGGAAACTTTATGTTCTTCATAAAATTCTAACATGCAGTCAGGGTGAGAACTACTCCTGTGGACCTTGCCTCCCCTGTCCACCCTTTCCTCTGTTCACTAAACTCTGTTCATACTCCTAGACTTGTCTCACCCCTGGAACGTGCCAAACTCCTGCCTGCCCCAGGGGTCCCTTTTCCTTTGCTGATTGCTCTGCCTTGACTGATTTCCATCCAAATTTCCATTTGTCATTCAGCTCTCAGCTCACATGCCACCTCCTCACTAAGATCTTCCCGGTCTAAAGCACGGGGTTCCATCTCCTCCCCCTGCCCAGTCCTTATCCCATTATTCTATTTTTTTCATGGCAATTGTCACTATCTGATCTGACTGATGTGCTTATCTTTCCCCTACTAATAGGTAAGCTCCGTGAAAGGGACTTTGATCCTTCTCACCAACCACTGTATCTCCAACACAGAATAGTGTAGGCGATAAAATATTATTTTTAAATGAGCAAATATAAGCACCACATCACCATTTATTTAAGAGACAGCAAGACTAGAAACACAATCCTTCCCTTTGCCTACAGTATCCTGCACAATCTGGCCCCTGCCAGAGATTGGACCCCTTCAATATCAAAGGCTAAGGCAGTTGGAGTCTCTGCGAAAGAGATGTAACATTAAGGGACCAGAGGGAACAAGATAAGCCAAGACAAGGGACCAAATGCTCCAGATGGTGCAAAAAGTGCCTCAGTAAGGTGCCATTCACAGTGACTTAGGATCCTGAGAAAGGATAATAGTTCCTTTGGTTTGAAAAGCACCCTGGACGGTTTAGAAAGGGCTCACATGCCTATCATCACATTCTATCCCGTTATGCAGGCAGGTAAGCCTGGCTCCACACAGGAGATATCTGAGGCTTGGAGATATCTGGTTACCCATCCAAGGCTGCACGGTGGGTGGGCAGCAGACTTGGAACTACAGCGTGGCTTTCTATAATCAGGGCTATTTTCAGCACACCACTCCAACCCAGAATAAGGAACTCTGGGAATACGAGCACAGCCAGCTTACCCAAGCATATGCGCGCACCTATGCACAGCCGCTGTTTCTCCAAAGAGCCAACAGAGGGAAAGAAATCACAATTAAACGAGGAATATTAACTCTGAGCTGACTCTAAAAAGGTAAGAATATATATTTATATTATAATTCCTAGAATAACCACTAAAAAGGATAAGAGTAGTTAAAAGCCAATAGATAAATTAAAATTCTAAAAAAAGAAAATTTAGTTAACTCAAAAGAAGGAAGAAAACAGGAACAGAAGAACAAGAAAAATCAGGAAGAACAAGTAGAAAACAAATAGTAGTTTTGAAGACCCACACTCAACCATATCATTAATTCCATTAAATGTTAATGAACTAAATAACTCCCCCCAAAGGAGATATTATCAAAATGAATTTTAAAAGATCCGTGCAACAATTAGGATGTCTATTACAAAAAATACCATGACACAGAAAACAATGTAAGTATTGGCGAGGCTGTGGAGAAATTGGAACCCTTCTGCATTGCTGATGAGAATGAAAATGGTGCAGTCATGTGGAAAACAGTTTGACATTCCTGAAAAAGTTAAAAATAGAATTACCATATNACCACTGTATCTCCAACACAGAATAGTGTAGGCGATAAAATATTATTTTTAAATGAGCAAATATAAGCACCACATCACCATTTATTTAAGAGACAGCAAGACTAGAAACACAAACTGTCAATAAGCAGTGTGTTTTACGTTGACCTTATGCCTTTTCTTCCTCATTATGAATCGTGTCTGCGCTGCTGAGAAGTGGGGACAC